AATATTTATTTATTTATTTAGTATACAATATTCTGTCTGTATGTTTGAAGGCCAGAAGAGGGCGCCAGACCTCTTTACAGATGGTTGTGAGCCACCATGTGGTTGCTGGGAATTGAACTCAGGACCTTTGGAAGAGCAGGCAATGCTCTTAACCACTGAGCCATCTCTCCAGCTGCCCACAAGATTTTGATTCAGAATACTCAGCCCATGACGTGTTTGCTAAAACCAGGTTTGTTTGCTGTATAGAACACTTTGTAGGGATTTGGTTGGTTCATTAACTTGAAATGCAAGTCTTTTGACCAAATAAATTTTGTTACTTGAAAAAGAAAAAAAAAAAAGAATGTGAAACAAACGCATTCCAAATGAACCTCAGACCAAGCCCCAAACGGATGAAAGAACTGAACACAACACATCTTAAAGTACACACATGTGGAATTAAAAGACATTAGCAGGAAGCAATGAGAAGTTCTCATGCAAAGGTTTCATGATTGTGAAATTACATTTAGTTTCCCATTTGAAATTACTTATCAACTCTTAAGTTAAAAAACTAAAGAAATTTTGAAGATTTAAGGTATTTTCTGGTAGCCTCCTGCATTAGTTACTTTTCTATAGCTGCGATACAATGCCATACCCAAGAAAACGTATAGAAGGAATGATTTATTTGGGGCTTACTATTTCAGAGGGCTGGAGTCCTTGATGGCAGAGTAGAAGTAGCAGGAGGTAGGCGGCTAGAGCAACAGCTGAGAGCTCACACTTCAAACAGCAAGCAGGTAACAGAGCTCACTGGGAATGGTGCCAATCTTTTGACACACTGAAGTCTGTCCCCAGGGACACATCTCCTCTTAAAGACCACATCTTCAAATCCTCCCCAAATAGCTACGTGTACTCAAACGTGAGCCTGTGGTGGCCACTCTCATTTAAACCACCACACCTTGTCCCGAGCAGCTTTACTGGACAAAGTCTGCAATCTGTCAGACTGGAAAGTGGTAGGATGGACCTTGGCATAATCTTGAATATGGTGAGAAGAACTCTTGGACACAAATATCAAGGGTTCAAGGACTTAAGTGGGAGTCCTGCTTGCCATGTGGTGCCCTACTTTTTCCACCAGGCTCTTTGCCTCTCTTGGCTTTCTGTAAGCACCTAGATGTGTGCAATTGTAAACAGGCCTGAAAGATCGCCACAGCTCTCATCCATTAGCTGACGTGTAGGTGGTCTACCCCAGGCTCCTGGAAGTCTTAAATCTGGAAGCCCAAAAATACTCATGCAAGATTCAGAAGTCTCTAAAAATCTGTCTCTGTGTCTGCAGACACAATGTGAGGTGCACTTGCCTTTCATGTCCTGTGCTGAGAGTCTCTGACTGCATTTGACCGTGGCCATGTGTCCACCTGCAAACGTCTCCGAGTGACTCTAACTCTGAACAATCAAGTTATGTGTTTTCAGGATCTGCAGAGATCATTGCCATAGCTGAAGGTGCAACCCACGTCCCTGCTGGCATTAAATCATTGAGGTTGGAAGTATCACCTGCTGGCAATGGTTCTCAGGAGACAACCGGAAAAGGTAGGTGAGAGCCAGCATCCAGGAGGATCTGGCTTCCCTTCCCTTGGAATCTTATAACTAGCCGCTAACAAAGCCTTTCAGGGTAGCTTATAGATTGTGACCTTTCCTATTGGTGCAGCTAGAAGGCATCACCCCTAACCCCTTTACTAGATAAGCTCTGAGGTTTGAGTGTTCAAAACTTCCCTTTGCCCTTCAGCTTCAGTGAGGCTGAGTCTGGGCAGGAATCAGAAGGTTCTGGTCCCTGGATCTGTCCTCTCATCACTTGCTTCCACTGGCATAGAAGCCAGGAGTTGGCTGCAATCTGCATTGCGTCTACGTGACTAAATAGAAAGACGAAGCCCTTGGGTACTAATGATTATCCTTTCCCATCCCCCTCGGATGCCTTCCCAAAGGAACTACACCTGGGAAGAGCCCCAGCAGTAGGACATAGCCGGGGAAATCTCCTATGATGTCCAGTGGAGAGCAGTGGAGAATGCATTTGACAGTTGTAGGCAGAGGAGGAAGGGTATGAGGAGAAAGAGAGAGAGACGAGCAGAGTGAGAAAAGCCAGAAAGGCAAGGTCACCAGGTATGCTAACATGATATATCCCCAAAGCCTAAGAGGATAGCCCCAACCCTTCAGACTTCTAGGCTCTTCTAAACGATAGGGTGTGGCCCACAGAATATCTTGGGTCCTGACGAGCCCCATTCTTTGTGGGGATTTAATAAGGAATTCAGTAGAGCATCAGAAGCCAGGCTGAAGAAGACTTGTTCTCTGAAATGAAGAGAAGGGGGCAGAGAATACTGGGGGTACAGGGTTCTCCCAAAGTAGCTCTCATACAATCGGAACACTGCTCATCTTTGGAAGTCCATCCTAGCTCTCCTGAAAGTCTGTGTTCTTAACTAGTCTGTGACAGACTGGCCTTCCTGCATCTGGGTGATGGGGATCGCATGCAGGCCCTGCTGCAGCTTGGAGAGATGCTCTTCTGTCTAACGTCCCGCTGCCCGGAGGAATTTGAATCTTATGGCTGCTACTGTGGAAGAGAAGGAAGAGGCGAGCCAAGGGATAGCCTGGACAGGTATGGACAGGGAAAGGTGGTCCACAAATGGCAATGAGGTTGCTAGCATCTGTTGGGGTCCTCATCTGCATTGGACTTTCCTTCAGGTTTCCCAAAGAGCTGGCTCTGGACATCTGTTTTCCACTCAGTGTGGCAGGTTAACATTACAAACCTGCTTTCCTGATGAGCAGCTGAGGTTAGTCATTCATCGAGGAAAGGGACAAGTCTAACTGAGCTAGTCTTCTATCTTTCTCCATTCTTCAAGGTTTATTTATTTATCTTACATCCCAGGAACAGTTTCCTCTCCCTCTTCTCCTCCCAGTCCCTGTCCCCACCCCTCCTCTGTTCCCACTGCCCAATCCACTCCTCCTCCATTTCTGGTAAATCTCCCATAGATATCAACAGAACATAGCATATCAAGTTGCAGCAAAATGAAGCACTTCCCCATGTATTAAATCTGGGTAAGGTGACCCAGTATGAGGAGTGGGGTCCCCAAAGTCAGTAAAAAAACAAAGTCATAGACAGCCCCTGTTCCCACTGTTAGGAGTCCCACAAGAGGAACAAGCTACACAGCTGTAACATATATGCAGAGTGCCTAGGTCAGCCCCCTGCGAGCTCCCTGGTAGTTGACTCAGTCTCTGTGAGCCCCCATGAGCCCAGCTTAGTTGACTCTTTGGGTTTTCTCATGGTTTGATGCCTCTGAGCCAGATTTCTCAAAGTTTCATTGCAAGCACAGCCTACCCTGCTTCCTAGGACTGGCTTGCTAACACCTGTTAGATGACTCTAGATGACTCCAGATGACCTCTGTGCAATGGCCCACATAGAGAATAGAGTTAACCAAGAAAAAGATTAACCCAGAAAAAGGCAAAATTTAAGCTATCATTAAAAAAAAAACAATTCTGAGTGTTTTTGCTAAATTTTATAGCAATCACTCTTCAAGGAATTTCCTTGTCTTCATATATACATCCATTCACCTACATACACATTCAGCCCACAACTCTGGAGGCTTAGGCGTGTGCCAGGCATCAAGCAAGTAGTAGACATACAAAAATGATTATGGCTAAACAAAACAGGAATGAAAATGCTCTTATGGCCATTAAAAGATTGTATAATGAAAGAGATAGGCAATTAGACAAAAGTACATAGACAAAATAGGCAGTTACATGGGATGCACCTTGAGCTGAAAGAATATTCTAAAGAACAGTTGATAGAATCTAGAAGACTGATTATTTAGATTGCTCATCCACCCACCTAGCTACCCAGCTACCACATCTTAGTGCTTCATTCTTTGCCTACTGAGGAGTCATTCAGGCTGTCAATGGAGGAACTCAAGGGCAACCCCGAAAAGAACCTCCCACCAGATGACTCTACTAAAATTTTCTTTCTAGCAGTTAAAGTTGCGATGGAGGTAACGGTGTGTTTATGTAATGGGGTTCCACTACAGGCCCTCTGTCCTCCATTAATGAGAAATCTTGACTAATGCCAAGATTCGAGAGTACACAGAACTCTTTAGTGAGATGCCGAAGACAGGGACATCACCAACAGCAGTCTCCATGTCTCATCAATTCCCATGGGGAAAAGTGGAGGCAATTTTGGAGGTGCCTCCTGATCACTGACCATATTTCGTCAAAATGTGAAATGGGACTGATCTGGAAAGCAAGGTACTATGGCTTCCTGACATTTGCATGTAAAAATTAAAGCTCAAAGCTACCGTGGTAAACTCGGAATGGCAGTTTGCCACAGCCGTGTCACGTCTGCATGCAAGAACAGAATCGCACTACCATGTATTCTGTGAGTCATGCACAGGTGATTAGCATGAATGTGTGACTCCCTTATGATTCCCAATGACACTGACTTTAGATTGCGGCTAGGGTGCTCATTTTCCACCCCGCCCCTATAACCATACACACATACACACATACACACATACACACGTACACACATAAGACAGCATGGTTCCCCTGGAGTGACAGCTGACGATGGGGCAGACATTGACCTCGGTGAGGCAGGATTTTTCTTCTGGCCTGTCAACAAAAATTGGTAAAGCTGTTGCATGAGTAAGAACAGATTACAACCCTTGGTTGGGCTGTGGCCTCCAGGAGGCAGAGATTGAGAGGCATGGTTAATCCTTACACAATTTCTAGGAGGCACCTCCACTACTTCTACTTCACAGAGAAAACAACCGAGGCTCATAATCAGAACGGCAGAAGAAAGTGGGAGAGTTGTCTTAGGCTTGGAACTTCCCCTTAGCTATCCAGTGTTTTTTTTTTTTTTGTGATAGAGAAAATGCTTTTATTGACAATATACTTTTTTCATACAATATATTTGTATTATGGTTTCCCATCCCCCAACACCTCCCATCTCCTCCCTATTTACACACCCACCCAAATTCACACTAATTATTCTATTCTCTCATTACAGTCAAAATAGGCATCTAAACTAAGGAGGAGGAAATATAAAGGCAAACAAAACAGAATAAGCCAAAAAAAAAAAAAAGAGCCTATGTAAAATCACCAGAAACAAATACAGGCTCTGAGACGCATACAATCACAGACATATAAAACTCATAAAAACTAATACCAGAAACCTCAATATACAAGCAAAATGTCTGTTGGGTAAGAAAAAATACCCAGACAAAGCAATATGTGTCACAAGGTCTTCCAAAAATGCCATCGAGTTCATTTTGTATTGGTCATCTGAGCATGGAGCCTGCTCTTAGGAGTGGTCTATGTATCCAGGGAGATTCCATTGGAGAAAAAGAGTTTTTCCTCTGAGCGAGTCTATCGAGTGGAGATAGCTTCCGAGTTAGGGATGGGGGCTTGTGTCCACTGCCCCTTTCAGTGCTGGGACCCCATCTGGCTTAGACCTGTGCAGGCCCCATGCACACTGTCACAGTCTCTATGAGTTCAGATCTGCATCGGTCCTACTGTATCTAGAAGGCCTCGTTTCCTTGGTGTCCTCCATTCTCACTGGGCCTTATAATCTTTGCACCTCCTCTTCCATAGGGTTCCCTGATCCGATTGTAGCCAGTGGGTTTTAAAGATCTGTGGATAGCTAAAAATGGAGCCCTAGGGAATGGCTGTAGATCTGTATTGACTGGGGCCTTCACAAGTGTTCTATGGATATCATCTGGCCAAGGATATCCCTGAATCATAGATCTGAACACAGGACATTGACTTATTCTGTGCTGGGGCCCTACTCTGTGCTAGGCCCTGTGCTGCTTGTAGGTCTTCATGGCTCCTATATTTTCTCTGGTTGAGGGCTAAAGAGGTGACCTATGGGTTTGAAGCGAAGGATTCTATTAATAAAAGGTTGAGTGGAGTAGGGTCACTGTACTGACAAGGAACATTTGTGGCTAGCCTAAGAGGCACCCTTCCTGAAAAAGCATCTACTCCTATTTGATGGAAAGGTGCCATGATGAGTATACTTGCCATCAAGAGTCATACTAAAAAAATAAAATATAGAAATCCAGCTATACACAGTTGGGTTGACGCTATGTTGGAAGGCAGTCTCTTGGCATTGTACACAACCTGAACAGCCTTCGGCGTGTGTAGTAGGCAGCCTTATTCTAGAAGAGGCCTTGAAAAATCTTTATACCCCATTCAGAATGGAGAAAGAAGACCTAATGGAAGGTCCTTGGTCTTAGGTGCTGTTTGTCCCATCACTGCTGTTTGGAGCAGGTGAGACCACTGGGCTGCCTGCATGGGAGTCGTTCTCGGTCGTCTGTGGTATGTGAGGACCACACACCCAAGTGTAAGTGTGGGGGATGCCTAGACTTCTTCTGCTCTCATGTTTGTATTCTGGCTGGATCTGGGCTCCAGATACTATCCCTAGCATATCTCCATCTCTACTATGGTCTCATGCTCTTCAAGACATGCCTTTACATTCCTTTCCACGAATGAGGGGTTCATGGTCAAGAGCCAGAGCCAGCTGCTTAAGCATCACAGCTGATCTCAGTAGCCTGTGCTTACTGAGCCCATGCTGGGGGATGTTTTAAGCCCTTGAAAGACACAGGTAATCCTCCTACCGACTCTAGGAGGCAGACCCATTACTTTTTCTAGTTCACAGAAGAAACAAATGTGTTCACAGTCCAACAGGCAGAAGGAAGTGGTAGAGTTGGGTTCTAGGGTGGAAAACAGCATTGCCTCAGACCTGGAACGTCCTCTTAGTTCTCCAGTGGCTTTTAAAGTATTCTGCCTTTTTCTAATAAGCAGACCTGTTCTGGATTTGATCACCTAAAGAACTTCATTAAGAACAGACAGGGAGGAATGGCTCTGGTTGAGGAGTGGGTCTTGCCCACAGCTCTACCCCATGGAAGAAACCCGTAGCTATGGAATATCCTATAGAGACAATGTGTAACACAAACATCCTTAAAACTGGATCAAGCGGACACTTTTCTCAGCAGTGGATTGCTGCTGCTGGACTGCTCTGTAGCTCAGAAAGAAATAATACCCCCCCCCCCCAATAAAGGAAATAATACCCCACGGGGCTTTGCTAGTGCTCTGAAAGGCGTCTCTCCTCATTTTTAACTGGGGAAGCAACTGGATGGACCTACTGTGTTCCTTGCTGATTCTATGTCATGCACAGCACATAGTCCTCCATGACACCCTTTTTGTGCCACAGCTAATGGCACAACATGTCATTCACCCACTCAGTGATTTAGTTTTCTACTTAGACAAACAAACAAAAAACCTTCATTGGGGACTGCAGAAATGATTGTGACCAAATACCTGGGAATAATCAACTTTCAACAAAAAAGAGAAAGATTTAGTTTGGTTTATGGTTTCAGTCCATGGTCATTTTGTCCCGATTGCTAAGAGCACGTGAGAAGGCAGACTATCTTGGCAAAGCTACTCACTTCATTGAGGTTGAGAGGAAGAGGGCGGAGAGATGGATGGAGGAAAGGCCAGGCCAGAGATGATATCTACCCTTATGGATGTGCACACACAGCACATACTCACACACCTATTTCCTCCAGTTTAGCCCCACTACCTTATTTTTAGCACCTCCTAATACCACAAAATTACAAATCTATCAGTGTACTAATTAATTGACTTCAGGATATAATCACCTTAAATCCCGTAGCTGGAAACCAGACCAGACCTTTAAAACAAGCTTCTGGTGGTGGTGAGGATGGACATTTAAGATTCAAACTATAACAAATGTGTGTGATCCTTGCATCATATTGCTCGCAGCCAGGGAGAAAAACAGGCAGTGGTCACTCTGATGTCATGTAACACGGCTGACAGGCAGTGCCGCTTGTCTTGGGGTGCTAGTTGAGGACTTCTACGCTGGAGACTGCAGTGAAGAGCAGAGAATTGGGGGAAGGTCAGGAGAGGTGCGAGGTGAGACTGAGAGGAGGTTATCTCAGATTTTGAGATGGCATGGGTGTTATGTTGTTATGGAGTCCCTAGGAGCTTAAAAAACACTGTGATTGGGATGCGAGACAAATCTGGAGACTAGCCTCAGATGAAAAACACAAAGGGCTAATTTCCAGCAAGAGGAATAGGCTAGACCATTAAGAACAGTGCATTCCAGACACCAGAAGGGCTGTGCAAGACAGGGGCTGGAAAAAGGAATGGCATGGGCTTGGATAAGTGGCTGTAAGCACCCTCCCTGGTGTCTTACATCTGTTCCTCTGCTATTACTAAGGTGTGGGGCAGAGCCTCTGTGAGAAGCTACTGTGTGCCTGTGACCAGATGGCAGCCGAGTGCATGGCCTCTGCCTCCTTTAATCAAAGCCTTAAGTCACCAGACCTACGAGAGTGCCAGGGCAAACCTGTATCCTGTGAGGATGGCATGCTCGGGGGAACCTTGGCCTCTTCTGCCGGCTCCAGTTCTGAGGAGAATAGTGAGGAGGCCACAGCCTAGATGGAGCGCCTAAGCAGCAGATTTCTGGCGAAACCACTTGGTCACTTGGGGACAAGACAACTTGGTGGAGGATAAGATGCTCCAAGCAAGTAGCTGTGAGCTGCATGAACTCTTTGGCCCTCAGTCTTCTGTCCATAGGAGCCTTAGCAGAAGCTCCAAGGGAGCAGGCACAGTCAGCTCCTTACTCATCAGCCTCCTGGAACTTGTCAGATCACAAACAAATGTGGCCAGAGAGAGAAAGCAGATGGCAGCACTCCGCTTCTTCCTGTAGTTCATTAGGGAAGCTCAATAAAGTCTCCATGCCTTACGGCCCGTGTCGTGTTTAAGAACTGGCTCTGTAGATATATGGGTGAGTAGCAGCTCGCAAAGGAGAGAGGACAGGAATAATGCAGGAAAGGGCTCTACTTCGTAAGATCCACAAATTCCCTCCTCTTTCGTTCAAGAGTTTAACTACATGCGATTGTCAATGACTCATGAAGACACGCTGCTTCTGTGTGGGTCAGGCACACTTGCTACCAGTGTTAGGAGAGTGGTCATGCGGCACAGCCGCCACGAGAAACCGCATCACTACCCCTGGCCCTGGTCCTTTCTTAAAAAGATGACTAAGGCCCTTGCCTGACTTCATATCCTCTAATTCCCCCTTACACTGCCTTCCATGGAGCAACCATGGAAGTGGAGCCTTCACATCTGATTTCTGCATTTCCTGAATTCTACATGGCTTTTCCAATGAGACCAGTGCTCATGAACACGGTATCTGGGTGTTGGAAAAAGCTAGAGGGCCGCTCTTGGTCATGGACAACCATCAGAGGGTAAAGCTTTCCCCGCTTTCAGGTCATAAGCAGGGAGCTCTGAAGTGGAGACTAGAATGTCAAGGGCAGATCTCTCCAGGCACCAGTGATTTTGTTCTTCCATTTCACTGTACATCCCCTTGCAGGGTGCTCTGGAATCACTTGCACATAGGCTTTGCCACAGGATGGCACGGGGAAGCCTAGACGCGATGCTGCCTCTAGCTCAAGTGTAAGCTAACGGGCTGAATACAGCGCAACAAAGACGTAGTTTATCTCTGCACCTGACTCTGCTTTTCGCTAATTCATATTAGATGTCAGAAGATGGGATCAGTCATAATGGAAAGTCTGGGGCAGCATTTGTATTGTGCTCTCAGTCTATCAGTGGGAACGCGGTCAGAGATGTGGAAGGACTGTCCTAAGTACACAGCAGACACAGAGGCAGTCTATTGCTGTATTAGGAAGGCAGTGGCTCTGCTTCCCCAAGGCACAGCCTGTGGCAGGGCTTCTCTGCAGGTATTACTTTTGGAAGTGGTTTCAGGGAACACCAGACCCCAAGGATGGCTGTTAGTATTTGCCAGAGGCTTATTCTGTAACACAGGGATGGCAGTGCTTCACTTGCCCTCTCAGCTAGGCTCTGAGTGCAGATCCCACTGTTCTCATTCCACAGACGACTGCTTAGCCTGGAGCTTAGGTTAGATCTGAACCAGAACCCAAGTTCCTCATCACTGTATCCTAGTGGCTAATCCAAGAAACCCATGAACTACAGCTGGCTACAGCACCCAGCTCTGCAGGTATAGGGTAAGGCCAGGGAGGCATAAGGTACTAGAGAACAGCTGTATTTTTTAAGGGAGACTGTATAATTTAGAGAGCAAGGAGGTGCGGTGGAAAGACGTCTAATGGCAACTAAGCGAAGCACCCAGAAGGCTTAACCTAGTTTCTCTTCATACTAGTAAGCTATGGTTCTGATGACTCTCATATACATGGTGAAGAATCTTCCCAGCACCTTGACTTTTTCCAAGTCCAATGTTGAACTTAATTCCATATATGTAATGCTATAATAAAAATGCGCTTATGCACAAGAGATGCAACTTTTGTTTTATTGCTTACATTTGATTGCACAATGAAATTTTACATTTAAAAAACTGACTTAATCACATCAATACATGTATCAGCATTAGTGAGACAAATGAGCTCCATTTGCGGGAGTGGGGAGCTAAACTGCTGGTTGAAGGTGGCTTTATTCTAAAGGATAATGAGTTCTAAAGGAGGGTTGGGGGAGGGAAAGAGAACATGAGAGAGAAAGACTATGAAAGATCAGGTAAAGTTCAGTGAAACTATATAAGCAGCCACAGACATCATAAGCAGAGGAGGGACATTTAAATGAACCGTTCAGTGTCACACAGAATATAACCAGCTGTATATGACAAGAAAGATAATAAACAATTTGAGTATCATGTACCTGACAAAATATACCAATATAGAGCTTAGCAGGTCCTAAAGCTTCAGTTCCTGAACTAGCTGCAGCACAGCTTGCACGCTTGCCTAAGGGCAATCCCTGCAAATGTGGAAGAGTGAGACAGAGAAACATCCATCGGGATGTTTTGGGAACGCTCGTCAACAAGACCAGTTTAGTCTACTGGACCTATTAGATCCTGAAGTGTACTGTGGTTTAAGAGTAGCAAAACCCAAACCAACAGCTTACAAAAACCAAGAAAAAGGTATGATTAAAAATCAAAACAAAAGACTGCAATGGTTTTCCTTTACATGCAAAGCATGCCTTTTTAAAATCACTATGAAATGCAAAACTTTATACAGCAAAGCTTGTGTTTTGCATGAATGCAAGTGAATATATATCTTTTTCTTATACTATTAAATTATATATTTTCCATACAAAAGCACACAGTGTTAATTTATAAAATGACATCCAAGTGGATGATGATTGTTTTTGCATGTCCCCCTGTTTAGATTTTAAGATAATAAAATCTAAATAATAAAATGTCAAAAATAATAGCCTTCTTTTAAAATACAGAAGAAAAAAGGGAAACAAAAATGCATGAAGCTTAATATTAACTGGTGACAGGCTCCACAAGTGTGAGAGGAATCCACCATGAAGTGACAGCTGGACCAGGGCTCTGCTACTCCAGTGGCAGCTGCACTGTCCCTCTGAGGACAAGGTCTGGTGAGTCTGCCCTTAGCAGCAGCCTGGACTGCTCTGTCAGAGGTTTGAGCAAATGGACCCATCTCCAAGATATTGTACTCTGCTATAAATATTGAAAATTTTGGGTGTGACATTCTAAGTTCATTTCCTTTTCTTGTTTATTCCTGTCTGTAAGAATGGTGCCCAAATAACCACAAACACACATTTAAAACATCCAGTTTTTCATTTCATTAAAAACAAAACTGAACTAAAGCCAAATTTTTTTGGGCTATAATTTTTGATAGGAATACTATTTTATGTAAAAAGAAACTGAACATGAAAAAGTAGACTTACACGAAATGATCTTAAAAACTATGCTAAGAGAAATTTCTCATTGCAGAAGGCTTACTTTTTCATCGTGTGGTGGTGTTCGGTAGCATGTGTAGCACACACTGCCCTTGCAGTCTCACACTCACAGACCTTAGCAAGAACACATGCACCGTTTTGAATGCATGTAACTCATCTTCAATAGAGACGCACACAAGTTTTGGTTCAAACCTTACAAATTAGAAGGTTCACTGGGGAAATATTTTACTATGAAAACCTAAATAATGTACAATATAAAAATGAAAATTTATTCATTTAAAGGAAACTGAAATGTATAGGCTCTGCACAGGTGAACAGCTGTTTTAAATTTATTTCTTTTCTATAGTAAATATATATTTCATTTAAGTAATGGCATCACAGCAAAATACAACTATAGTTTCAAAGCGCAGTCTGTAAACTAACACATCGTACGTGGAAAACACTGCACCTTTTGGTGCTCCAAGAGTGAGCTCTAAGGAGCCCAAGGGCTCAACTTGAAGCAGAAAACACAGTATTCCAAGACCAGTAAGGCCTGGCCAGGATTCAGGAGATTTTCCTACCGCTGCTACCGTAGAAATACCTGCCACATTTACTACTGAGGACTGAAGGGAGAGGGCTACATAGCCCTCTGAAGCATGGATTTAGAAAGCATGAAAGCATTTGCAACCCTAGAATTAGGAAGAAATTTACTCTGGAAGAAAACAAAACAAAAGCAAGTGGTTGTGAAGATGCTTAAGAAATCAGCAGACACTTCTTACAGTTTCAATCTTTTTTTTTAAATCATGTTTGTGCAAAGTTTAAAACATACTATTTAACAACGGCATAACGTGAAAGCAATACATGTTCAATCTTAAGCGTTAACAGGAACCTCAAAACAAATTAACGTGGCATAAGTCTACCTTCAGAAGTACTCACAATTGACACAGAATGACATGTGTATGGTCAGAGATAAGTGCCATCACATTTCAGGACACGTCAGTACGCATTATGCAAATCCTGAAAACTGTCTTGGCCTTGTGTTTCAGGCTTTAAGATTCTTTTAAATGCTGTAGTCTTCATTGAGTCAGTCAATACACACACAGATCTGGAAACTTCATCTCATAGACTGGAACGGACTGGTATTGGGCATGCCCAGAAGTAATGGTCAGTGTTCCAGATGGACTGGGAGGAGGGCTATAAAAGAAGAACATGGTGCTATCAGCAGGTGCATTTACAATATTCAACTATTGCCTGCAAACAGCCAAATAAAGTTGCTTAATGGAAGGGCTTGATGTAGGGCAGGCGATGGCCACTGATGACACAGTATAGGCAAAAGAGGGATTCTGGCTATTTCAAGTCCAAAACAGACTTTATGTGTGTATGTGTAATTTTTATAATGTTATTATACTGTGCATTTTTATAGGCTATTTTGATTCACAAGTTAAAAAAAAAAACCCTGCTTCTTCACACATATCACTCTTACGGTAGTGTGGTATTCTGTCCTATTGAAGGCGTAAGTCACGAACAAGGCCACACCAGTTTGGAGTTATGATTAATAGGGTGTTATTTATTTAAAGGGGAAAACTTACAGATCACCGTCTCAGACAACAGCCATCTGCACAACAAGGAAGGGAGTCTAGTCTCCAGCAGAGCAGGAAGTGAAGAGAGCGAGCAGAGGAAATAGCCGCTTTTTTAAAGGGAGAGAGACCACACCCCAATGGACTGGTATCACAGCAGCTATTGGTTGGAGGTGCGGAAGGACCTCCCGCAACATCCTATAGAGATAATTTATCTCCTAGACAAATATAGATTCATTTTCATTATTATTAATCATGCTCACTAGTCTATTTTTATAAATATCCTTGGTCTAGAGACTTATAAGTAAAAGTTCACAATTTTACTCTTAGTATGGACAGTGACAATACTGGAAATTTATGGTGGTTTAAGGGATGGAAGTAGTGCTTCCTAACCTGAGGCAAGAAGGAACCCGTTCCCAATATTCTTTTTAATTTCTGAGCTACTGTTAGTGATAAACATCTCTGTGCCATCCATTCTGGTTTCTTTAAATAAATAAACTCATCAATCCACTTTTGTCACATAGGGCAAATACTTTAATAATCCATTATTTAATGATCAACTCTTTTAGCCAACAGAGATCACACTCATGCGCATGTACACATGCACACACACCTCTTAACACATCTGCTGTCTACTACCCTATAAACGAAAGACTGCCTTTCTCTTAGAGGTGGAGGAGGAATGCTCTGCCTGCCCTCACTGGCATGTCATCTTTGGCCTACATATAAGAAACTCAACAACTGTTCTTTTCCTTGAAAACCTAAAACTTTATCTTTCTCATAAATAGTACACATTTCAATTTTCCTGTATTTTACTTACTTCTATACAAATTCAAACTGTTCAGAATGTCAGCAAGGCCAGGCTTTATGGTGAATACTTTTAATCCCAGCACTTGGGAGGCAGAGGCAGGTGCCTCTATGTGAGCAACAATAACTGGACGCTACAGGAAGAATATGTCTCAAAAGAGCCAAAACAAAATAATACAAACAAAAAACCCAAGCAAAGATCTACCACATCTTTCTTGGCGTAGGTAGGGCCTTGTTCATTCTCCTACTGCATTTTCCTACCACCTCTTGCATAACGATTTTTCCAGACTGCCTGTAGCATTTTCTTTAAATGTAAACTAGTGACTACATTCTGCAAAGGTTTCTATGGGTTGATTTGTAAAGAGCTGATGTCTTTATGATACTCATTTACTATTCAAGAATAAGGTATGGGGCAGGCAAATGGCTTGGTGGAAAAAGGTATTTGTCTCTAAGCTTGATGACCTGAGTTCAAGCCTGAGATCCTGCATGGTAGGAGATACCAACACTTGAAAGAGAGCCAACACTGAACTGCCCCCCTGCTATACATGCCATATATATATAAAATTAAGTAAATGTTGAAAGGTGTGTTTTTTTTCTGTATATAAATAAGTATATCTCAGATGTAAAGTTATTTCTTAATCTGTATTGATTAGTATTCTATGGTTATGAGTACTTTCACTAATTAATAATATGTACAAGAATTAGTCTCATATAATCAATTTTGAATTGCTATCAACTACATTATACGGCTAAAAAATAATCTTGCAACTGTTCCAGTATTTAAAGCTACTGACACTATTTCAATCTTCTACATTGTGTTTTGCAAAATTTGCATTTGTATTTTCTTGATTGTTATGCTTTAATACTTGAATAAGAATGTTAAAGTGTATAGTGATGAGAGTATAAAGAGACAGTACAGCAAGATCCCAGTGAACACAGGCAGGAAACAGGGTGGGAGCCAGTATGTCTCTACTCCAACACATGCACTCTCCAGTAATCTCTGACCCTTCGTACAGGGTGCAGTAACTGGCTGTGTCTGCTACTGCATTCATTTTACAGTTGCTTTGCATTTCTCCTTTTTTTCTCTTCTGTACCCAAGCCATGGTGAATAGAAAAACAGGGACTGAGGTATAAGATGGTTTGGCTTCACTTCTGTATAGCACAAAGTCTCTTCTCTGGCTGATCAGATAAACAGGAGAAAATGTGCAGATAGGCCTGAAAACCTACAGTGCAACATGCCGTTAGCCCCTCTGTATCATACAAGCTGTCCCAGAACTTCTTCCAAAGAGGCAGCTGTGGATGGACTCCTACTGAAACACTCTGGGACACTCTAAGTGTTGCTAAGTATTAACTGCCACCAAGTGTTAAGTCCAATCCAGACAAAGTCATGGTACCAAAAGATAAAAAATATAATGCTGTTCTTAAACTTTTAAAGCCATACAAATGTGCGGATGTAACAGTGTTGTAAGAGTGTTGGTCGCAGCATCACTTTACTTGGGAATGCAGACTATATGTTTTAATTGTCTGTCTCTAAGTATAAGACCTTCAGCAAATTATGTTCCTTTTCTAGGCTCTGGTGTCTTTACTTGGAAACTCAGAGACAGCATGTACTTACTTTTCTGGGTTGAGAGAAGAAATATCTGATATAAAGTATATAGCCTAAGGCCAAGTACATAGCAGGTATCTGAAATTTTAATTAACAGAGTTAAAGCTCTGTATTTGGTAATTTTTTTCTGAAAAGGAAGTCTCTAATACATTTTGTAATTTAGTCCTTTTCTGAATTTTTATAAATGAACAATTTTCTCCTTTGAAACAGTAAAGTGGTGAGAAAACGTCCAGAATAATAAGTGAAACTGATTTTAACAAAAAGTGTCTTACATATGATAGTGGAAGACAAAGTAGAATAAAAACAAGTCAAGTAGACAAGAATGGTTACCAGTCTCTTCTAATCATAAGATATAAACTTGAAGAAAAAAAAAAAGAATTAGTCAAGTTAAAAGATAAAGGATTTAGCTGAAAGAGAAAACAAAATTCCAGAAGCAAGGCTCTGTGTGTGTGCTCTACTGGGCCAATTTCCACACTGATGTCAGTGGGAGACCTTGTGGCAGCTCCTCCTGTACAGAGGGCTTAAGAGAGCCTTCGTCCTTCTTAGACTGAATTACTTAAGGAGAGATAAACTCAGAATGACGGACAGCAATGAGATACTGTATACTCTGGAATAAAATTCTCATAATAACTAGATAGTATATGGGAAAGCTCAAGGAAAGTGAAGGATCCATCCCAGTAGCAGTATAACTGCTCTGGATGGAAGCATAGCAAACTGTAGTTGGAGTGTGTGAAAATAGTTAAATATGAATGATCTCCAGTTAAACATAACATTAGAATTCCTAGTTATGCATCAGGCCAGCAAGAAGGAAGAGATGGTTTAAGAGAAAGCTAGAAATGCCAGGAGATAACTGGACAAGAGACTGTTCAGACTCCAAACAGAGGAGGACTGAGACAAAGGGTTGCCAGTTAGATCTTCTTTATGCTCAGTGCAAAACAGTTATTAAACATGCACAGCCATGCACAGCTTCTAGTTTCTGTGTTACTACTTCTGTGCTGACAAAGCCCTTACCGTATGGTGAGCTCCAGTATTTGAGCAAGTCTATCATGAAGCAAGTTTGCCTGCAAAGGAGAATAACGAATGGTAAGAATTTCTTGTTTGCCAGCCACCCATATATGAAACACAACCTCAACTATGAGGCTGACATGAGACTGTTTGAATACTCTAATCTGCAGTATCTATTGGACTTTAATGTAGGTCTTCTCCCCACACTCACCCTTTTCAAGTTCCATAGTCACAAGTTGAAAGTTGAAACAAAAAATATCCACAGTAAAATTATCAAAAACCATTGGATACAAACAAACCAAAACAGAACAAAACACCAAAGCAATGACTGTCATTCACCCAGCTTAGGATCTGCTATTTCCATCACCATCATCATCATCATCATATAAAGAAATTCTTTAGGCAATAGCTCTGCTGTCAGAGGCTGGAGTCACAATATGCCTAAAGCCAGTGGCCAGAATAAGCTCCAAAAAGTCATTCCCCACCCACTGTCCATCAACTCACTCACTTTGGATTCACACTGTGCTGCTATTTCTTCAAAAGGTGCTTTCTGGAACTTCTCTATCACAAGACGCCTCTTTTCCTTTTCCTGTTCTTCCATTCCATTGGTATCTGTATAAAAACCAGTTAGAGAAAGAGTGTCATAAAATCATGCCAAAGGCCACGGGAACCAATGATCTATAGTCCCCCACATAAGAATGATTAAAGAGTGACTTCTATAGTGAAAAAGGCAAAGTACACAACATTCCTTAAATGTTTCACTTGATACTAGATAACACAAATATTTGGGGAAAAAAATTAAATCTAAGGGTTAAAATTCCACACCAAAATGCCTACTTTCATAGAATTCCGGCCTCTTACTAAATACATATACACAACAAACACACATAGATAAAGATACACAAATAATACATAAAGCTACAAAAACGCATGCACACACATACATACCTACATATACAAGAGAGAACAGCAACTTAACAGAAATCAAAAGACTAGTAGGGCTTTTCTGAATACTTCTTTTTTGTCTAACTATGCTGCTGCCCTTGTACATACACAAGCACTAAAATTTTGTTAAACTGCATCTAGATCCCAATGGATAAAAAAATAAAATACAGCTGAGTTGTTTAGAGCCAATGTGTCTCAGAGTCTTTTAACAGAAAGGCATTTTTTTTTTTAAAACTGAAGACCATGATGGTCTGGACAAAGTTTGTTAGATGGTAAAAAGCAAACGTCTACCTTGTTTATACCACCATGTTTGTTTATGTGTACGTACATCTGAGACAATCTAAAAAGCATAAACAATGTATTTAAATAAATGACCCACTTATATAGAGACCAATGATATTTTTCCTTTTCTTTCTTTTCATGCTTTATCTGCTTATTCTATCAACTAAAAAAGTACCAAGGTAAAGATGAGATTTTAGGAAAGCTAAACAGTTCTTCACAGCTCACCAATTGCTTTCTTCAGTGCTTCAAAGGTGATTTCTTCAGTGTTGCTAACCTAAATAGAGTGTAAGGAGAACCAGAGCAAGAAAAGTGAATATAATTAATATTTTTACCAACATACAAGTCACCTAAACATTTTCAATATTTTTTTCCTCCTTTTGATTGGCTAGAGCTGAGATTATAGTCCAAACAGCAGAATCTCTGCACTTCTTCCCTGTCCATAACAATGGCCTCCTGCAGTGGCTTCCTGACTGGCACATAGACGGGTGTTAGCCTGGCAGAGGAGGCAGCACCTCTGCACCCTTGGATGAGGCACGACATCCAGGGCATGGATGTGCCACATGATACAGTTGTAGGGATAAGTCCCACCCCTTAGGGGGCGTGTTCGCCTCAGGCTAAAGTTCTCCTATAAAATTGGTGAGCGTGCTCCCAGCGCTCTCTTCTGCTTTCCTGGTCTCCGCGGGAACAGTGGTTCTGTAAGTCTATTCCTCCATTAAAGCTGTCTATATTTTGACAATCTGTCTGCATTCGCTTACGCCGTTACATT